TCTGCCTGTTACATACTTTTAACAAAACCATTATACCCTGATTTCCCATTTTCAGTGGGTTCAGGGTATAAATATTCCTCTCAGATACGAATTTTAAGTAAAGAACACAACTGTTGTATTTGCACACACATATATACAATAAAAGTATTATCATCTCAATATATATTTATGCATATGCATTTATTTTTGCCTAATATATTGATATTGGTTTTTTCTCACGCTTCCATCACTACACATTATATATATCATTCTATATACCCAGAGACCAACACACGGCCAGCTAGTGCAGAGGGTGTTGAGTGAATTAAGTGAATTTGCAATAAATAAAAAAAAAAGAAAACAGCTAACTTTGCATAATTTGTTTGTGTTTTACATTCAGTATTTTACATCATCATCGGATGCCAATGGCAGGCAGGCAGGCGATTCGCAGTCGGCAGTCAGTCAGTGTGCCAGACATTGTCGTGGAGGAAGTTGCATATTTATGAGCTTTTTTCATACATATTATATATAAATATAAATATAATTTTTGTTTTTGTTCTGCTTCAGCTTCGGTTTCAGCTGTTGCCGCTGGCTGGGGCGTGTGTGCGCTGTCATGATTATGAAATCAATTGAACATATGTTTGGTCGCATGCTCTGGCCATAAATCAGAAATGCTTAGTCAGACAAACACACACACACACACCAACACGCATAAAGACACACGCAGACACACTCCTATACTTAGTATGCACCATTTGATGAGAACAAAACAAAAGACTTAGGCAACGAACGCGCTGCTCGTTTGCTCCCAATTGCAGTTTATACGTTTTACAACACTGGCAGCCGTAGCCGTAGCTTGTTTGTGTTTTAGGTGTAATTTAATTCAATTTGCGGAACTAGTTCTTTTCCGTTGAGTCAGTTTCATCAAAAATCGTTAGGAAAGGAAGTAAATAGAGAGAGGCAGGGGAGATTACGTAGATGTAGTAGTAGAAAAAGTAGGAAATATTTCAATAGAAGTTGTTGTCACTATATTATACTACATATTTTATACTAACTTTGTGATAGAAGTAATAATTAATAGTAAGAAAAATAATAATAATTATTATTATTATTATTTTATTATTATTTTTTCATAAGACAGTAGTAAAGTAGTAAAAATAGTAGTAAAGTCCGCAAAAACCCTAATAATATATGGTAGTAGGGGCTGTAGCAAAAATGGTGTTATTAATAGAAGACAAAAAGATGCAAGTGTACTAGAGGTTGTTTTACTTTTACTACTTTGACTAGTTTTAATAGTAATTTTAATAGTAGTAGAAGATTAATTACTATATTTTGTAAGAGTAGTTAGTATAAACATAAATAGTCAGAGTGGCAGTAGATGCAAAAGAGATTGATAGCCAGTACTGGAACTTGTCAAAAACATTGAAACAGATAAATTGAACAATCTTTAGATGCACAAACAATTCCATTGAAATTAATCTTTTATTATTATTATTTTTTATTACTCTTTCAAGTTCACTGTTCACAGTGATATTTAAATCAAATCGTTGCAGTTATTTTCAAATCAAATCTTTACAAAACATATTTAAATCAAGCAGTCCGTTGCCCTTAAGGCGTTCACATTAATTTGTTTTCTCAGATCAAATAAAATGAACATAAATAAACATAAAATATGGTCTGCCCAAAATTTAAAAAAAAAAGTGGATATTTTATTGATTGCTCAACTTGAACCAATTCGAATCAAATTTATGCCTAATGGAACAAGTTTTATTGTTGTTGTTGTTGTTGTTGTTGTTGTACTTTTTAAGTTCATATCAATTTGAAGCGAATGCGACATCTTAGAGATTCTACTTTCAGAACAACTTTTGAACTTCAGCTGTGGCGCTTCATTAATTTCCCAAGTAAGTTTTCTGCCAAGCTGCTAACTAATAGCCCACGAGCACACACACACAAACACACACACATTTATGCATATATTTGACTTTATGTTTTGATGCTTCCCACACTTGAGATGCGTCTGTTGAGATGGAGACCAATGACCCGCTGTGTGACCCAGCAGCCTTGGCTGCTTAACCAAAAGAAAAAAAAAAAAAAAAAAAAAAAAAAAAAAAAAAAAAAAAAAAAAAAACCGAAAAATAAACTTTATAAAATGCTGAACAAATTAAGCAAACGGCAGGCGTTGCATGTGCAACAAGTCATGCAACAACAACAACGGCAACAACAACAACGGCAACAGCATCAATAGCAACTGCAATAACTTGAATTTTGTTGCAACGCACATTTACCACACACACACACACACACACATACATACACACTTCTACACGTATAGAAGCATACACATACACATACATATATATCCGCTCTCTTCCTCGCACTCTCTTTCGCTACACATGCACACATGCATCACTTGCACACATACAAAATTACTTACTCTACCTCCCTCCCTCACTCTATCTCACTCACTCGCACGCTCTGCCGCCACTCTCCTTGCCCCGCCCGCTCTCAGCTGTCTGGCCGCTGTGTAAAGTTCATGGGTCGTTGCCAGCTGTTTTTCAGTTTCTACACTTCGCTGCTCTCCACTCTTCGCATTTGCTGTTGTTGTTGTTGTTGTGGTTGCCACTGCGTTGCAGTTTTCGCTTAAGCTACACAGGCGCTTCAGGGTTGCCAGCTTTTTTTGTTTTTATTGACTGCGTCAGTTCGGTTGGCTTTTTTTTTTGGCGACCTCATCTGTCAACAGAATTAGAAGCGACAATAACAACAACAAGTAAACCAACAACAACAACCTGCCAGAGTTCAGTCGAGCATTTGGCCTACGGGATTTATGTACGCAGGCATCGAAGTCGAAGTAAAACATTTGTTGTTATTATTATTACATTTGTTGTTGTTTTTTTGAGTTTTTGTTGAGTTTTTTCTTATTTTTCATCTGCTACAACAACAACAACAACTCGTCTGTCAACTTGTTGTACGCGGTCAAACAAGTGCACTTTAGAAATTGCTCATAAATCATAAAACTGAAACGAGCCAAGTTTTTTTTTTTAATTTTTTTTTTTAATGTAATGGAAAAAAAAACATTTTTCAATTTGAAGAAGTGCCAAGTACCTTGGCATTATAGTCATTGTCATTATCATTTACATGCGATTTTTATTATTATTAACATCACCTTACACTGAAATCTTAAGATATGTAAGCCGATATAGGCATCTTC